GCAGGAATCCGCAGAGGGCTCAAGGCTTCCCCCCTCCTGACTGGCAGAGGCAATGGAGGGAGTCCTGGCAGGACACCATAGAATCCTAGAGAGTCAGAAGGGGCCCTACAGACCAGCCCCCTGCCCAATGCAGGACCAGCCTAAACCATCCCTGACAAATATTCCTCCAGCCTCTTCTTGGAAGCTGTCATTGAAGGGGAAAGCTCACCACCTCCCTAGGCAGCTGATTCCACCTCTGGACCACTCTGACCGTGAAAAGGTTTTTCCTGACATCCACCCGATACCTTTCTGCATGTAATTTAAACCCGTTGCTTCGGGTCCTCTCCTCTGCTGCCAACTGGAACACACCTCCTTGCCCTCCTCCAAAGGACAGCCTTTCAGATACTTAAAGAGGGCAATCATGTCTCCTCCCTCAGTCTCTTCTCCAAACTGAATATTCCCAGGGCCCCGAGCCTTTCCTCGTAGGACTCAGTCTCCAGACCCCTGATCATCCCCGTCGCTCCCTTCCACACCCTCTCGATGATTTTGCCCACATCCTTTTTGGAGTGAGGCCTCCAGAACTGCACAAAGGACTCCAGGTGCGGCCTGACCAAGGCAGTATACAGAGGGGTTATGACCAGTGTTCCTTCTAAGCTGAGTTAGTGTGAGCTCACAGTTTTTTAGCCTCCAGCTCACACATTTTTGTCTCGGCTCAGGAAGGATGGCTCCAGAGCAAACTAAGTTATGCAGTAGCCAAATTACCTGCTCACAACTTTAATGCCAGTAGCTCACAAAGTAGAATTTTTGCTCACAAGACTCCACAGCTTAGAGGGAACATTGGTTATGACCTCCTGCGATTTCGATGCTATGGCTCTTTTGATACAACCCGAGACTGAATTAGCCTTTTTTGCCACCGCATCACACTGACTGCTCGTATTTAGTGTACAGTCCACCCTGCCCCCAAGACCTCTTTCGCACCCCCACATCCCCACATCCATCAGGCTGCTTGTCCCCTACCAGTTGTTGCAGGAGTCGAGCGAGAGGGTGTCCCCCGGCAGGTAGAGCTCCCCCTGGTGGTAGCACGGGCACTCGCTGAGGGGCACGCAGGTGTCATCCTGAAGGAAGAGGCCATCGGGACAGGAGCAGCCCTCGGTGCACTGGGAGGCACATTCCACCCGGGTGCCCCGGTCCAGGCAGAGGCGCGGGCAGGCCCCTCCCTTCTCCCGGCACTCCTCGGCCGTCCGGTGGACCATGTTCCCTGGGCACCGTGCTGAAAGCGAGGGGCAGGCCGAGGCTGCCGGTCAGAGAGGGCGTCCAGGGCAGGGTCATGGGGGGAGCCCTCCAGCCCCGTAGCTAGGGAATTCTTTGGGAGGGGGCCTCGGGGGGCACCAGCTAATTAAATGTAAACAGTGCAGGTGGTAAGTTGGAGCACTTTGGGGGCAGCCCAGGAGGGAGGGGCCCCAGAAGAAACACAAGGGGGCCAGACCCGGTGGGCCCCATGTTAGCTACGGGCCAGCCTCCGCCGGACCAGTCTCGCCAGCCCCACACTGGCTGCACTGTGTGTGGAGACTCCCCCCCCGTCCTGCCCTGAACCACCCAGTGCTCAGGGAGGGCCCCCCGTCTCCCCTCGGGCCACACCTTTGCAGGGCTGTGTGTTGCAGTCACGAGTCTGGACGAGAGGCCCGGAGCACTCAGGGCCCCCGTAGGCCGGGTTGGAGCAGGAGCGGTTGCGCGTCCGAACCCCCGAGTCACATCGAGCGGAGCATTCGGACCAGGCTGTCCAGGGGGTCCAGATGCCTTCCACTGGGGGGGGAGGAGAGGGAAGGGCCAGGATCAACAGGTGGTCCGGGACGACAGGCTGATCCCTGGGTCTGGGCCACAGCCAGGAGGGCCACCCCCCCCGATCCCCTCCGTGCCACACTACCGTATTGATCGGATGAAGTGCACACGCTCCTGGTTAGGAGTGCTGTGAGACCAGGGAATGTAAATGTAGTTATGTGACACTCGATATATTATCTTGTATCTGGTGAAGGGAGCATATTCACTCTTAAAAGCTCATACCCCCCCCCCCGAATCTTGTTGGTCTCTAAGTGTCAGCAGGACCCACCTTCAAATCATGCAGCGTTCTGTTCCAGACAAGTGAGATTCCAGGTGCCTCCTGGGGAAAGCTGTGCTACAGAGACACGGGAGAGCTTCACCCCACACCCACACACCCACCCACCCAGACTTGCCTCCCCTCCTCACGTGTTTGAGGCGCTCTGACATGATGTGAGTGTTGGGGGAGCGCAGGGAGACGTTCAAGACGATCACGCAGTTTGTGACGATGAGGGTGGCCACGACCATCACGAAGATCAAGTACCTGCCGCCAGGAGGAGAAAGGCCGGCGTGGGGGCTCCAAGCCAGAGGGCAGGAGCCCAGGCGTCCTGCACCCACCCCGACACCCAGTCTCACCACCCAGCCTGGCCCTTGCCCACTGGCCCACCGTGCCGCCGCAGCCAGCACCACAGCCAGTCATGACGCTGCCGCTTCCCCCCCGGAAGGAGGCAAGACCCCAGCAGCCGCCCACTGGAGCCGATTCTTCCTTTGGGGGGGTTGGGCACCCTTGAGGCCCAAGGCCACTGCCTCGTGGGTGGGCGGCCCCTGCATGGCTCCTATACCTCAGAGAGCCCAGAACAAAGTTGGGAGTCCAGGGGCACCCTAAAGGCCCAACGGAATTTAATTCTGGGCATCCGCTGTCATGTGCACGCACACTTCCTCAGGTCCACTGGAACAGCCGACTTTGCCAGTACGTATCACCCACTCACGTCGGCATCTTGACCCCAATGAGCCCTTCCTGGTGACTAATCCCCCTCCGCCTATCGATCACAGTTGGTGAAGTCGGTGTGTGTCTGAAGGGGTGTGCCTGCCCACAAGGCGAGTAGCCCGCAGAAGGCTTCGTTGCTCTCAAGGGTGCCCCCCCCCGCGGGGCTCCGACTCTGTTCCGTTGCTTCCGACCAACGTGGCGACCCCACCTGGCTCTAGACCTTGGAGAGTCCAGGCCTCCTGGGGCCCCTCTGCTCTCGGCCTGTCAGCCTCCCTCCTCCCCACCCCTACCGGTCCTCCCGAGGATCGGGGCCCTCCGGCCAGGCCGAGGGGCTCACCCAAATCACTCACTGACAACTTTAATGCCAGTAGCTCATAAAGTCGAGTTTTTGCTCACAAGACTCCACAGCTTAGAGGGAACATTCTCTTAGGATGAAGCTTCCACCAGTGACATTGTCCCGGCTGTGACTCTCTTCCTCTTGGAGCTCAGACAAATGGGAGGAAGAGTGGTCGATAAGAGGCCAGTGGCCAGCTTCTGCAGCCACAGTTTGCCTTGGGCAGTGCAGAGAAGGGAGTGGGGTGTGTGTGTGTTTATTTCTTCAACATACACTGGGCTTTGCTGATCAAAACTGGAGTCATGAGCTGAGTTAGTGTGATCTAGCTCGTGGTTTTTTAGCCTCCTCCGGCTCGCACATTGTTTGTCTTCGCTCAGGAAGGAGGGCTCCGGAGCAAACTAATTTCTGCAGCAGCCAAATCGCTCGCTCACAACTTTAATGGCAGGAGCTCACAAACGAGGGTTTTTGCTCATGAGTCTGCTGTTATTCTTTTAAAAGGAAAAAAAAACCCAACCCTGCTCTCTGCAGGCCTGCCTTCAGAGGTGATGCAGGTAGCAACTAGAGACAGGGCATTTTCAGTGGTGGCCCCTCCCCTCTGGAACACTCCCCCCCTTAAGGCTTGCCTGGTGCCGACTTCACTTTCTTTTAGGCACCAGGCCATAACACATCTTTTTACCCAGGCTTCTAATTAAGGGCTTCATCTTATTAGCTTTCTAATAGTCTGCTTGTGCTGTATGACAGCTCTAATACTGCTTATGTCCAATGCCTTGCTTTTAATGGCTTTTTAGACTGTGATGTTTTTAATTGTAAACATCCTCCAGCAGGACTCTTAAAAGGAAGCACAGAGATATCCTAAAAATAAACAAACACATAAACAAGAAGATGTGTCCTCCAAAACACAGCTTTCCTCCCTTTAAACTGCTAACCGTAAAGCAGGGAGCCTGTTTGTAATGAGTTAAACCAAGAGGAGGTTATAGGGTTAAATCCCTGCATGGCCTGAGGCAAACTGAGGCTATATAAACCCATGATGTATATTTTACAGACAGGAAGGTGATCTCCCTCACCTCTGTCTGATCCCTGGTTGAGGCTTAAGGAGCTGTTGGGTTGTACCTGCTAGCGCCACCCCTCAACTGTCACCTAGTGCAGTTTTGCAATCAGCCTCTCTACAGGGAGAACGCCTGTCGTGTAACAATCATTCCTTCAATGTGTTCAGCTAAGCCTTTGATACAATAGACAATCAATAACCCCCCCAGCAGTGCCCAGGCCTGGGCTGGCTGGAAGGAAGCATCCCCCCCCCAGACCCCCTTGCACTGTCCCCCCTCTCACCTGGGCAGGGGGGCGTGTCGCAGGGCTCCTCCTGTGCTGTGTCCCCATCACAGCCCACTGTCTCTGCCGTGCCATTGCAGTGCCGGAATCGCTTCCTCACCCCCACGCCATCCATGGCGTAGAAGCAGGTCTTGGAGCAGGGAGACCAGGGGGTCCAGTCACTCCAGGTGCTGGGGATTTCTGGGGATGGGGGGGGCAGAGGTTGGGGGCAAGAGAGGGGAAGGAGTTCAGATAGGGTTCTCGCGGAGGGTGTGTGTGTGTGTGTGTGAGAGCTTGCTCTCATTTTTCACCATCAGCAGCAGCACCATCAATTTTTTCCCATGGCTGCCTCTGCAGAAATCTACTCGGGGCGGTTCCAGCTAGCAGGTGGGGTGCGAGACACCAGCAGTATAAAAAGCGCCCCCCCCTCATTCCGCCACTGCCATCCTTTCCATCCTGTATTTGTTTTAACGACAGCTATGTTTTACTGCAATTATCTGCTTTTATGTGAGCCGCCCTGAGCTAGCTTCGGCCGGGAGGCTGAGGCAAAAAAAATATATCTGAAAACTAACTAACTAAATAAATAAGTATGAGTGACGCTCCTTGTTCTTTTGAAATCACTGAGCAAAAGGTAATTGACGGGCCCTGATGCCCCTGGAAGCCGCTCTCCCTACCTGAGACGCAGGCGGTGTGGCACTCATGCACTTCCTGGGCATCTCCTTGGCATGGGGCACCGCCGTTGGCGGGGGCTGGGTTAGAGGGGGATCTGCAGGAGAAGCAGGACACGCAGTATGGAGAGAGGCCTTTTGCCCAAGGGCGGCTCCAGAATTTACATGTGGGAATGTCTCCCGTCCCCCCCCCACCTCCGCCAACCAGAAAAAAGCCCACAGATTGTGAATGGTTGGAATGCTGGTTGGAGAGGCGAGCCCTCTTCCACCCCTTTAGGGACATTCCCTCAAAAATACTACTATTATTCCAATAGCATTTGTGACATGCAAAAACACTTTACAAGCCTTAACTCGTATTCGTAGTATTATGGTAGGCCTGCATTATTCCCATTTTACAGATGGGGAACCGAGGGTGACAAAAACGGACTCTGGTCTACAAAAACATGCTTGCAATAAACCGGTTTGCCTTTAATTAATTAATTTATTAAATCAGACCTGCTAGGCCGCCCTTCCCTATGAGTAGGTCTCAGGGTGGCTTACAACAGAATAATAATGATTAAACAACATTAAAAACCATTAAAACAGATCAATGGATGAATACAAAAAACATACACCCGGTGCCTCCAATTTATTCTCACAACAACCCTGTGAGGCAGGTTACGCTGACGGAACGTGCCTGGCCCAAGGTCACCCAGGAGGCTTCCATGGCATGACTGGGGATTCGAACCTGGGTCTCCCAGAGACTAGTCCGACACTCTTAATCACTCCACTGCTCTATTTTTATTGCTAAAATGACCACGGAAGGAGAGGACGACAAAAGGTGTCACTGCTGAGCAAGAAGAATTCTGTGGTGCTGGGAACTGTGTGGTCAGGCTTGGCTGGCGTGTGGTGCGCAAAACTCTGAGGGCGCTCTAAGGTTAAGATGCGGGAGATCTCCCCCACACACATACAAGACTGGCTATCTGCCACTTTGGAACTTATGTCGTTGGTCCGGATCCACCCTACCGGAACCCATCTTGGAACTGGGAACATCAGAACACCAGCACTTTGTTGTACTATTGTTATGTTTTTATTTTGTTTTAATTGTTTTAATTATGGCTTTTGCCCCAATTGTTAGCCGCCCTGAGCCTTAGGGGAGGGCGGGATATAAATCAAATTTTAAATAAATAAATAAGTCAGGAGCAGTTTTAAGTCCCATTGGTTTGGATGGGAGGGTTCTATTCAGGCTTAAATCTCACCCAGTGAAACGTACGGCTTAAAAGCACTGATCGTTGGCTGGATCATGCCAATACTAGGAGTGGGATTCTTGCCACAACTTCAGCAGAGCCCCTGGAGGGCGGGAGACATCGCTTTGTACCCCATTCCTGGCCCTGTCTCCCGCCCTCCAGGGGCTACTGGCCTGAGGGCCATCGCTGATGGGATCGCCCTGTGTGGATTCCACTCTTCCCTCTCTTTACCTGAATCTCTGCTGCATCCCCACCCCACAGCTCCGGCTGCAGGGCGTCCACGGAGACCACGCGGACCAGCCACAGTTCACGGGGCAGGCCACTGAGTCACAGGTCACCGTGCCATCCAAACAGACACTGGGAAGAGGGAAGGGAAACCTCGGTCAAGCAGGGCAGAAAATGGCAGCCCAGGAGCCACGCATCCCACCCAACCCGACACGTGGGGCTGCCGCTTTGGGCCGAGCAGGTTCTGACTTCAGCCACCGTGGTGTTTTCATAGGATCACAGAGTTGGAAAGGGCCAGACAGGCCATCTAGTTCAGCCCCTACTCTAGGCAGAATCTTCCTAAAGCAGAGGTGTCAAACTCATTTGTTATGAGGGCCGCATCTGACATAAATGCCACTTTGCCGGGCCGGGCCATGTGTGCCAGGTACTGGAGATATAAACTGTATAAAGGACAGCGGCTGGTAAGCTCCGAGTTGGTGTATCCCCCACTGCAAGGCCTCATGGGGTGGGAGGGCGGTACAAAGGAAAGCCCAGGCTACTTGACCTCTACAGACGAGGTTGTTTCACCATGTGGCTCAGCCCACTCCCCCCCTCCGAACAGTCTTATGTTCCCTCCCTTGTACTATATGCTTGCGGGCCGCATAAGAGCACTGGATGGGCCAGTTCCAGCCCCCGGGCCTTATGTTTGACAGCCCTGTCTTATAGCATCCACACAGGGAGTGGACTGGGTGGTCTCGCTCTTGCTGCTGTGGCCGCTGATACAGTGTGGAGGCAAAGGGGCCTCCCCACGGCTGGCTTCCCCGTGCTGGGCAGTGGCCAGTCCTCCCACGCCACCAAGTCATTTTCATTTTTTAAAAATCAGCAATTGAATATGGTGATGCTCTGTCTTCTTGGTGCTTGGGGGGGGCAACAGTGGGAGGGGCTTCTAATGTCCTGGCCCCACTGGTGGACCTCCTGATGGCCCCTGGTGTTTTTGGTCACTGTGTGACACACAGTGTTGGACTGGATGGGCCATTGGCCTGATCCAACACTGGCTTCTCTTATGTTCTTATGTGATATTAGTATAATGTAGTAACAATCTGTGGCCAAGCCCGGTATCTCTAAAAAAGCAAAAGCTGGGGATTCAGAAAACTAGATAGATCAGTTGTTATGATGTTACAATGATATACAGGGCTATTTTTGGGCAGGAACGCACAGGAACGGAGTTCCGGCTAGCTCCCAAGTTGGCCAGGCCCAGCAGGAACTCATTAGCATAATAGGCCACACCCAACAGCAGGAACTCATTAGGATTGGCTACATTAGGGGTGTGTGGCCTAACATGCAAAGGAGTTCCTGCTCCAAAAGAAGCCCTGGCCGGTTTGACAACAAACAAGGTAAACAGAATAAGAAGCAAAAGGTGGGTGTGGCCGGATGACCACACTTCTGGTAACATGGGGTGTGGCCTAATATGCTAATGAGTTCCTGCTGTTGGGTATGGCCTATTGTGCTAATGAGTTCCTGCTGGGCTTTTTCTACAAAAAGAGCCCTGCCGATATAGCAACTAACTTTTAAAAAAAGAAAAGAAAAGAAACAAGGCAGGGGAAATGGCAGCACCGGTGGGAGTGGGAAACACCTTGGAGGGGCACAGAAGCGCCAAAATGCTATGTGTGTGTGTGTGGGGGGACAAGCTGCTGCCAATGCCCCCTCGGTCTCTGGGGACAGAACGAGAGCTTTCACAACCCACCCAGGAGCCAACTAGACCGGCTGGCATCCTCGCAGCCGCTGACCTCCATTTTAAAGTCATTTAAAAATGCTGCAAGGAGCACTGCACCGTTCTCCCCACCCCACGTCTTGTCATGGGCCCAAACACCTGGGCGGGGGTGTGTGTGTGTCAAGAGACTCCCAAGTGTGCCTGGCCACCCAGCCCTCTCTCTTCTAGAGGCCAGCTGCTGCCCGATGCTGGTAGGAAGGCAGGCAGCCACGGAAGGATTGGTGAGGGCTGTACGTTCTGCCCAGTTGCCTTCTGGGAAGCCGCCAGGAGAACATGATGGGGAAATGGAGCCGCTGCCTCCTCTGGTGTCGAAGGACTGAGCAGCCCCCAAGGGGCAAGATCCCATTAAGACCAGTGGCCGAAAAAGGCCGTCCGTTCTGTGCCTGCGCCTCCTTCAAAAGCAAGTCACCAGAGAGCAGGCGGCACGTGGTCCACCGATCCAGACCCTCCCCCTTACCCTAGTCCCCCACTCACCACTGGCTGCAGTTGTGTCTCAGGAACATCTCCCCCGGGAGACGCCGCTCGTGGCCAAAGAAGCAGTGGCACTGGCTGATGTTCACGCAGCCTCCGTCCTGCAGGAAGAGCCCTGGGGGGCACCGGCAGCCTGCGGGAACCGGGGAGCGGAAGCTGTGTGTGGGCACCTGGGCTACAGAGCCCCCCCCCACCCCCGTGAGGATGGGCAACCAGGAGTCAAGTGCCTCCCCCGCCTGGCATGAAACGTCACGGACAGCACGGTCCTCCCCATGCGCCCACAGCAGTGTGGCAGACCCCACTGCCTTCCTCGTGGCCGGATGGGCACGGCACAGAGAGAATGCTGCACGTGGGGTTGCCAATCTCCAGGAGGGAGATCAAGGGCGAGAGATCACGGGAGGAAGTGGAATACCAAAAACAACATCCGTGACAAAAATAACGAAGAGTCAATAAAGAGAAGTTGCGAAAACGTTTACTGTAGTAATTCTGTAGATGATAGAAGAAAAGTTTGTACAGAATGTTGCTTTTGGTACTCCAGCCTCCAGGTGGGGCCTGGGATGGGAGCTGACCTCCAGACTATGCGGATCAGTTCCCCTGGAGAAAATAGCTTGGACTGGGGGCCACTTGTGGGGGCAGAGAGAGAGAGAGAGAGAGAGAATGCCTCTGGTCCTGTGAGTGTAAAGGGTGTCCCCGTCTGAGACGATGCCACCCCCTTCTCCTGCCCGCCAGGGCTACAGACTTACCCTCAACGCAGCTGCTGTGACAGTTCGACTCGGCACTCAGCTGCTGGCATGATTGGGGGCACGGAGCCACCAGGCCTCGCTGGCAGTGCCCGGCCTGCACGTAGACCATGTCCCGGCCACAGTCTGTGGAGGAGACGGGCCCATGTGGGATGAGTGCCAACCACAGTGAGTCCCTTTGGGAAGAGGTGCCCCCCTCCCCCCTTCCAAGCCAAAGCCAAAGGAGGATCTGTGCTGCCCAAGAGGACCTGTCTCCATCCTGGACTCTGTTCCTCCCCCAAGAAATGTGTCACACCCTTCATACGGGTCCGTTTCAGTGAGGAGCAAGAGTGCCAAGTTTCACCTGGGGCTCTGACAGGAAAGCGCTCTGCAAGCTGGCATTGGGCTTCTCCGCATTCTGCTTCTCCCGGCTTCTGTGTTCCTGTTGCTTTGGGGGGTTTTTTCCTATTCTGCACATGTTTTGCTCCCTCTAGTGGTTGATTCGATATTATACAACTTTATGTCCGGCATAAATACCTGCAGATTTACACTGCAAATGTTTATGCCGGACATAAAATGATGTCATATCAAACCAAGCACTAGATGGAGCAAAACACATGAGGAACAGAACCCCCCACACCAAACAACAGGTACACAGAAGCCAGGAGAAAGAGAATGTGGAAAACCTCACTAAGCCCCCGAAGCTCAGCTGCCGTCTCTCTCTCTCCGAATAGCAAGGGGGGGGGGCAGGTAGTGGCTATCTCTGCCCTGGAAATGGCATGGAGGAAGGAGCGCCACAGCCCCATTCCAAATTACTCCCCCAAAGGTTTTTTAATGCTAAGGGTTGTGGGTAAGGATCAGCGATATGGCACACCAATCTTGGTTCTGAGCCACATCCAGACTCTGTAAACATAGGGTTGATCAGTGACTTTGGCCCCCCACACCAAGCAACAGGTACACAGAAGCCAGGAAAAAGAGAATGTGGAAAAACCCACTAAGCCCCTGAAGCTGAGCTGCCGTCTCTCTCTCTCCGAATAGCAAGGGGGGGGGGCAGGTAGTGGCTATCTCTGCCCTGGAAATGGCATGGAGGAAGGAGCGCCACAGCCCCATTCCAAATTACTCCCCCAAAGGTTTTTTAATGCTAAGGGTTGTGGGTAAGGATCAGCGATATGGCACACCAATCTTGGTTCTGAGCCACATCCAGACTCTGTAAACATAGGGTTGATCAGTGACTTTGGTACACTAAGAGTCCTGACCTCTGCACATCCTGAAACTGCAAGCAAGTCTTAAGATACTGTGCAAGCATTTTAGGCATTCTGTCTAAGTATCTGTTTTTCCCCGTTTCTGTACGTGCAAGCCAACAGCCTCACCTCACGGTGAGAGAGGCAGAGTGTGTATAAATAAACTCTTGCTGCTTTTAAGCGGCAGACAGATTTTCTACCCTCAAAGATCGTGTCTCGTGTGAGTCCTTCAAAGGGCAACAAGGAGCACCTTCAATATAATGTGCGGTAGAATCCTGCAGAGGAAAGTTCTCCTCCTTGGAATGAGTTGGGAAAGCATGGCTGTGAACCCCTCCCTCAGGGGGACTTGCCCAGGAGAGAACTTGCCACTGCAAGATGCCCATCAGTCTTTCTTAGCATCATCCAGAAGAAAGCAGAATGCAAATGGCTGGACTCCTCAGTATGCAGGATTCGGAAAGTGGGAAGCAGGAAATCCCTGCTGGCTCAACACTGGGACCGACCCCCGGTGTGGAGGAAGGCTGGAGGGGCAGAGAGAGCCAGTTTGGTGTCGTGGTTGAGTGCGCGGACTCTAATCTGGGAGAACCGGGTTTGATTCCCCCACGCCTCCACTCGCACCTGGCTGGATGACCTTGGGCAAGCCGTAGTTCTGACAAGAGCTGTCCTTGAAAAAGAGTCGTTTCTGTCAAGAGCTCTCTCAGCCCCGCCTACCTCACAGGGTGTCTGTCTGTTGTGGGGAGGGGAAGGGGAAGGAGTTTGTAAGCTGCTCTGAGACTCCCTTGGGTAGTGAAGGGTGGGGTATAAATCCAATCTCTTCTCCTCCTTCTTCTAAGATGGCACCAAATGCCCTGGCAGGAAGGGTTCCTGGGTTGGCCAAGCCGGGGTAGTGCTTGGGGTGTACAAACCACAGCCTCCAAATAGAAAGCCCCTCCCCCTTCCAGCAAGACATTGGCCAAACTTGAAGGGACACAGGAACACATGAAGCTGCCTCCGACTGCATCAGACCCTCGGGTCCATCAAGGTCAGGACTGTCTACTCTGACTGGCAGCCGCTCTCCAGGGTCTCAGGCAGAGGAAGGTCTTCCCCATCACCTCCTGCCTGGCCCTCTTTAACTGGAGATGCTGCCAGGGACTGAACCTGGGACCTTCTGCATGCAAAGAGGATGCTCTGCCACTGAGCCACGGTCCCTCCCCATGGAGTTGCCTTCTACTGAATCAGACGATTGGCACATCAAGATTAGCACTCTCTACTCAGACTGGCAGTGGCTCTCCAGGGTCTCAGTCAGAGGTCTTTCACATCACCTATGGCCTGGTCCAGGACCTTCTGCATGCCAAGCAGAGGCTGTACCAGGAGGACCTATTAGACAAGCATCATGAAAAAAGAAGCCCACAAATTTCAGCTGGGGTTGATAGTCAACTATTATTTCTGGAGGAAGCGTTGTTTGCGGGCAAGAGCACAAAGCCAGACCTGGGGATTGAGCAGTGTCCTCCTCCTCCCTCCTGCTGGCTTCTGAAGCAAGGGGTGAATTTGTATCAGAAGTGGAAGTGCTCCTGGGCACCCTCACCGAGTCTCTGAGATCCTGGGGGAATGCATTCATGAGCTGCAGCACCTTCTGTTTGAGGACATTAAGCACTGGAGACCCCCCCAACCCCACCCCACCCCGCCACGTTCTCTGCTCTTGTGCCTCAGCTAAT